GTAGGAGAGAAAATCATTAGCTTGCCTACTTTTCTAAAATTTCACATTCCAAGGTATTTAAAAATCATGGCAATCTTATAAAATTGAAGAACTAAATAAACGTAACTACAAAATTAAAAAGAATCATTACCTAAGTTACCCAAGTAATTTATATCACATGCATTTTTCCAGAAAAATCACTTTATGCTCTCCCTAACTTTATAAATCCAGCTGAAGGTCTGACTTTGAAGTCTATCATCAATTTACCACAAAGTAAAATGTTTGCTCAGATGTGATGAACAATAAGTTTATTAGGATAATCTACATGTGCAGTTTCTTCATGTTCCTGCAAAACCTCTCTTCATCAGGCTAAGTGCTTTCCATGAGGATGATATATACGTATGAATGAAATAGCAGTTGCCCCCAAATGAAAATGTTTTCTATTAAATACATGCTAAGTCAACATCATTTTCTCTCCGAGCATAAATGAAGATAAAACACTCCACATTATGATTCAATTAAAAACCTCCAAGATACGTTACCTGCCGCCTCGAGCACTGAAAGGCACTACATGGATTCCCAGAGGCCCGCCATCGTTGGGGACTTGTACGAGCTTTACCATATCACTGTGAGACAATGATGAATGAGGGAGCGTGAACACGTACTGTAAACAAACCAAAACCGAAACGAAACAAAACAAAAAACCCCGCAACGCAGACGTACAACAAACAACAAAAGAGAACGAAACAAAAATCTCACCAAGCACACACGCATATACATCCAACATTCTGGAATAAAAGCATGGTGATGAAGGCAACATTAAACGCTACATACCTGTACGCTAGTCTGACGGCATGAAGGGAGAGCAATCGTCAGAGAGAACTACATTGAAATGACACAGAACCATTTCTCTTGGACCATACTCTTCCATGTAGTGCAAGTTCATGTTTTGCGAGTCTAATTTCTAGACTTCCGGTGAAACTTTTCCATTCCAATACCTATTTCATGGGCTCTGACGATTAACTGAATAAGGGTATTGCAGCTACATAGCACTTTACAATTTACAAAGTGCTCTTATACTCTATGTCTCATCATTAATCCTTCCAATAATCCAATGAGGTCAAAGTTCTCACCTCTGTAGGTGACAGTCCACAGGAGATCCCAGTCGTCCTCACTACCAAAGCACAGGTTGTAAAACTCCTTTCTCAAAGCCAATAGGCATAATTTTCATAGAAGTGCCTGTAAGTGCTTGTTTATCTAGAGACAAGGTCTTGCTATATCACCCAGGCTGGCCTCAAACTCCTGGGCTCAAGGGATCCTCCTGCTTCAACCTCCTGAATAGCTGGGACTAGAGTTATGAAGCTGTTTATATTATATGACATAACATGAAGTTACTTTTTTTATTTTAAACATGAAGTTACTTTTAAGTAACTGAAGTACTTTATGTTATAGAGCATAACCTTATATCACCTATGTATTGTTAAGTCACTTACAGGAATCTTTACTATTAATACAATAAGCCTGAGTTCAATGAAAATTGGTAAAATTTAGGGAATGTAAATTTTCTAAACCGCTTAAATGAGATTTTGCTTTCTTTGTAGAGTATTCCATATATGCATACTACATCACAGGCCTAAGCAGAATTTATCTA